GCCCTATATAATCTCTTCTTATTTGCCCAGTCTGTTACCTTGCACAATCTCTAAAACAAGGATGCGTTTTTGAGGGGCGTGGTTTCTTGCAACCTTAAACAATCTATTTAAGGTGCACCTCCAAATATTATTATAACATGTAATTTTAATGTAATTTTTTTTTAGGATTATCTTAAAATTTATTTTAATATCTAATTATAAAATTTTAAACTCTAAAAATGGTTAAAATAGATATATAAACATAAGAAAATCTTGAAAATGAACAGTCTAGATTATGTGTTGCAAGATGCACTATTTCTTAGACTCAAAATCTTTTTTGTTTTTATATTCATACATGTCCATATCGAGATGATCAATTCTAGGGTTTTTCAACATTAAAAGAACCTTTCCGATGATTTTTGAGGTGCATCTTTATTTCTACATTTTAAGGTTGCAACCTTATATACACTTTTTCTTTACTTATTTTACACAATCATTAAAATAAGAATGAGTTTTGAGGTGAGGCTTTATTTATTGTAATCCAGCTGCAGCTCTATTAAAATATTTTTCCTAGTAAACAAATTTCTTTCTTTATGATTTTGGTATGTTGGAACCTTGAGTATCATGTTACATCTGTTAACACTCTAACCATCAACAAAGTACGTAAATATCTAAATCAAGTCCAATCTACCAAGCACCTAGTGGTCGTAGTTTTATTTGAACTTTTCGAACGTTTAGAAGTTGTTTAAAATTCGAGGGGAAAATGATGGGGTGCACACTTATGGATGATCATATGATCGTTTTTCTTGTGTCGTTCATGCACTTCAAAAATTAAGAATTGACCTAAGGTTAGGTAGCCATGTTGGCTGCGAGCCACAACGTGATGTCTTGAGTTCCAGAGTTCCATTTATAATGTAGATAGAGGACCCCTTTGCAATTGAACTACCCGTAAAATTGATATTTTTAGTGTAGGGGAGCACGAAAGAATACATCTTTTCCTACATAAAAATCAACCTCTTCTAAGTTAAAATTTAGAAAAATCACACAAAACTCAGCCTCCTCAGTAAAAGCTCATACGTCGTGTTCGAGTTGTGGCAGGCACCTAATGCATCTTTGCAAGGCATCATGCATAGATTACTTTCGTTCATGGATATGAAATAAAAGTCGCCCACAAGTGTCCTTATAGTGGGTGTTGGGACTTAGAATAGGTCCATATCGACCCGTTTCCTTATGGGAACTAAGAATCCATCCGGTTCGCATATATTTACCCAACAGTGTCAGAAACCGTGAGTCTATCAAGGTACATGGCGATCCAGACTGGCCTGATCTTCTGGATCTCACACACTATATTTTTCTTTTTCTTATTTCTATGGACTGATTCTCACTCTGAAGTGTATTTTACTTCCACAGTATTGACACCTTATATAAATTTTTTTATTATTGCCTGCGAGGTTTAGATTGGAGCCTCAAGCCCATATTAGTGATTCCTTTCCCTTCAGTGACGAGAGATAAACTCCCACTAACTTCTACATTTCGTCGTCTTCAAGGACACACATATACTATAGACAACAAGGCCTGTCTGATTGAAATGGCTCCATTATCAAATATTCATATAGAAAGTAACATTTAAATATATCCTAATGGTCTGATAAATCAAGGCCATAGACCATGACCTTAGGGTTATAAGTAAATGTTCTCCCTTCAAAGAGATTGCATAGAGAAAAGATATGGGTTTCTCAAAGGGGCTCATGGTGTTGCTCTTGATCATGGTTATTGCCCAGACCCAGGTCCCAGTAGGTGCTCAAGCTCGAGTCTTTGTTGCCCAAGAAGGGGATGATAAGTGCTCAATATTGTTGTCAACTTATGATCATTTTTTTATGGCAAAAGTTTATATAATGTTGCAACTATAAATTGTTGAAAATAGGCACACGTCAAAAATCCATCGAAAAAGGTTGTTTTGATGGTGAAAAACCCTCTAATTGATCATTTCGATCTCAAAATGTATGGATGTGATTTTTTTTTTTTTTTTTAAAGTATTAAAACTCTTACATCTTGTAATACATTATCCGGTCTGTCTATTCTCAAGATTTTCATGTATTTGTAGATCTATTCATTCTATAACATTTTTTGAGTTATATATATCTATGTACCAAAGAAGTTTGAGCTTGGTCAAATGGAATAAATGCATCTATCTAATTTCACATCCAATAATCAAGATTAATTGTGAACTCCTTGTACCAAAGATAAATGGACTCATTATATATGGGATAGTATACCATAATATCGTTTATCTTTGTTAAAAGGAGATCACAATTACTCTTAGTTTTTAGATGTAAAATTAGATGGATTTGGGTGTGCCACCTCGAAAAATTTGTTTTTGAACTTTGAGTCTAATGAATGACACTCTTACAACTACCAAATTTGAAAGGACAAGAATGTTTGTGACCTCTTTATATTAAAAATAAATGATTATACTAAAAATAAATAATCTTTCTATATAATTTTCCTAGAGAGAGCATGCAAAATTTTCATAGTTCGTGTTTGTGTTTGTTTAGTTTTAGGGTTATCAAAGATGCTGACCTCCGGACGCCCGTGCACATGCTGCGATGATGTTGGTGGTTCATGCAAACTTACCTGGGGTTCCGCTTGCCTCAGAGCTGAATGCCGGCTCTGAGAAGAACTCTGAGCAATGAATTTGCTTTTTTATTTATTTGGATTTGGGACTTGTTATTAGGACCTGGTTTCTATGCGGCCATGCTCGGATATGTAAAAACGCGGGCCTCTTAATAAATCTATTTTTGAGATGGATTTAAGACTTGATTTTTAAGGACATGTAATATCTAACATGTGGATCATGAATATGAAAAAATAAACAAATTTGAAAACTAATAATAATAATTTTAGTAAAAAACATTTGGACGGTTAGTTTTTATTGTTTTTAGATGGAACACATAATTGCATCCATCTTTAAGATGGATGCTTTACACTTTTTCGACCGCATACGTAGAAATGCAGCCCAGCACATGAAACAATTTTCTTCGTTATTATCACTAAGGAAACTCCTAAATGATATGTTTCTTTTGCTTTTGTGTGAATGAAATTTTTATCACGTGTATGGTTTTCAAAACCCGGATCAATGGGGTCTATTGTCCACTCCACCGGTGTGTGTTGGATCACCAGATTGTCGGTCTGGATTGGTTAAAATTGGTGATTCAAAATTTAAAATAAGGGGGACCTAGGAAAATATAGGCTGAGGGTGGAAAAAGAAAAAAACAATATGAAAGGAAGGGTTTTACAGGGGACACTTTCCTGGAATCGAATCAGTCCTGATTGATTTCCAGTCCAGATCGGTGATTCCTGATTGGGAAAACCGGCCTTTGAAACACTACAAATGGCAATTACTAATCTATATATTTAGATAATATAAAATTCAAAGTTAGTTTAAGCTACAATTAACATTCAAAGTTAGTTTGATATAGCAATTGAAAACCTAGATCGGTTGGGTGAACCGACCTTCTAGAAATCCGGTCTAGATTGGCGAATAGCAATCATATCAATTTTACGGTACGAGAATCAGTCATAAAAATAAAAATTTTTTAAAGAAAAACTACTAAGAAATATAATGTGTGAACTAGGTGATCCAGCGGTTTGGATTGCCCGGTTCCCTAATAGAACTAGGCAAATCCATAGGAACTAGACCGACTCCTGCTTGTGACGAGGATCCGGGTTGGTCTAGACTAATTCTTGTTCCGAATTAACGCTTTTGATATGGACCACCGAGTTTTAAAACATTTATTCGACATAAACACACGTCTGAAGTTAGAAACTCCAATTATGTGATTGAAAATTTCTTTTATGCCTTTATTTCCAATTTATAAAAGATGGAGATGGAAATGAAAATGTTGATACTAAATATGACTACGGTTTCGTTAGTTTTCGAGTGAAGAATGCAGAAAACAAGTATGGTTTTGAGTGCTTTTTTTATTCCCAAAATTGGAACAATACATAGAAAATTAGCAAGGCCTCTATGCAAGCGTGAGGATGACACCGCACAAATCAAGAAACGGTCCAAATTTTAATTACCCAAAAAAACAAAAAAAAAACTGTAAGGAGATGCTGGTGCCAAAATTGATTCTCCTACACCAGTAAGCATGTTCTTTCTACCTAGGCGCTTACTATGCACCACACACCACCTCTCTCTCAACTTCAATTCATAGAATCTTGCTTGAGTATATTTGAGTAGTAGCAATCCTGATATATTGCTTCCCATAAATCTAGATTAGATCGGACCGTATTTCTCATGCTATTGGAATATGGCGATCTCATGGATTGAAACTTAGACCTTAACCGGCAAATTTATGATCCACGATTGGCTTCCTATAGTCTTGAGACTTTGTGCACAATATAGTTGTGCGCGGGGGCAGTCCGATAACGATTTAAGTTGGTCTTAATAAGTGCCTCCCCCAGTTTATAGCTGCCTTTCCAGGAGTCAAACCTGACTGACTAGTCAGTAACATGTTGCTAATGGCAAGGTTTTGGCACTAGCAGGCAAAAGAAGGAAATTTTTCATAGTTAATCGGTGATAAACAATGACATTGTTGAATGCTTTTTATATGGAATACTGGTTACCTATTTGTAGGAATACCCTTAATAGCATTTAAAGATAAGATTGGTCTACGGCTATCAGGATGGCCAAACTGCACCTTATTACTGTTCGTAGTATACTTGGAAATGTTCGAAATTTCGAAATATTCAACCAGTAAATTCATTTCTTTCAACCAAATCTTAGTAAAATACACGCACAAGCACAAGCACAAACACACACTGAGACTGAGAGAAATAGTACAAGCAGCCATTCTTTCTGATCACATAAACAACAATGGAAGAGAGAGTATTGCATGGGCCTTCCATACAAGACAATACTACTAGTGCCTCCATTTATTCACCCAAGATCTACATTCACTATTATTTAATTAGAACTATCGATGCTAGGGCTCTTAATATTTAGGCACTGCCCTAACTTAGTTCTGCCCAGCTCTTAGTTGCTGGACAGTCTCAGGGGAGACCTTGAATGCCCTTGTCAGGACCTCGTCGGGCACGCTTGATCCAAACAGGCTCTTAGGCAATGATACAGTGCCAGCGTCTGCGCTGGAGAAGGCGGAGACCACGACGGCCTTATTGGCCTTGTCGAGGTTGGCCTGGTAGTGAGGCAACCCCTTGGGAAAAACAAACACATCTCCTTTCTGCAACACATTCCTGTACAGTTTTCCATTGCTGTCGGTCGAGCCGACCGTCAGGGCCCCATCTGTGACGAACAGGAGCTCTGCCCCACGCGGGTGGGTGTGAGGGACATTGACAGAACCCGGTGCGAACTCGAGGAGCTCGAGAGAGAGGCCGGTGCCCTTAAGGGCGGGGAAGTCCCTTACAGAGACAGGCTTCCTCCCTACAGTGTTGGTTGAGGAGGGGGCACCACCTCGAAGACCAGTGTACGTAAAGAAGCTGCCATCAAACTTAGACTCGTCGAGACCGTCAGGGACAGCGAAGTCCGAGAGGAGTTCAGGATCGGCGGCATGGACGACAGTGAGAGAGAGCAGAGAGAGAGCCCAAAGAGCCAAAATGGGGATGGTTTTGGCCATTCTTTTTTTCTCTTTGAAGCTGTGGAAGAGGAAAGCTTGAGAGAGGACAGAAGGATTAGGGTGAGGAGAGGAGAGGGTTTAAGTGGTGCCATTTATAGAGTGAGAAAATCTGGTGATTTTCCCTCTCATCCTCCATTAGGCCCGTAATGGGATCATCTTCATTCCTCACCAAGGATTAGGGGTTAATTGCCCCCCACTAGCAAACAGTGATTGATGTTTACTTATAGGAATTTGTTAACACTTTTAAATGCCTGGCCCAAATAATCACTACTAAACTTATTTGATAAAGAAATTGTGTGTGGGTCCTCACAATTTTCACTACCCATTTAATGCACTTAAAAAGTTAAAGGGAGTTGAGCACTGTTTGGTCGACCCCAAAATTGAGGGACAGAGATACGATAACAGCCTTATTCCTGAAAGTTGGACAGAAACCCAACGGTTCCATGATGCCCTAATCACAGACCAACACACAAATTCCACCAATTCACTTATCACTTTCATTGATTTTAAGCACTGTTTTGAAGATCGCCTCTGCCAAGGGACTCTGACCTAGGTTGAGGGGGGGTTACTTGGTCGAATCCGAGTGCTTGGACTTTTCTGGTACAGGATTAAAAAGCCATAGAAAATTTTTAAAAATATAAAAACTAAAAATTCGGCACTAAAAGTAGAGAATCTATGTAAGGTTGCAACCTTAAAATTACTGATGCACCTCAAAAATCCATCAAAAAATATTGCTTTAATGCTGAAAAACCCTTCTAATTGATAATCTCGACAACGAGATGTATGAATATAAAAAAATATATTTTATATCCCATAAATAGTGCATCTTGCAACACATTATCTAGATCGTCCTTTTTCAAGATTTTTATATGTTTATAGATCTATTTGATTTTAATCATTCTTTTAATATTAAATTTTATAATTAGATATGAAAATGGATTTTGAGATAATCATAATAATTTTTTACATCAAAATTATATGTTTTAATAAAACTTGGAGGTGCGCCTTAATTGGATTGTTTAAGGTTGCAACTTTACAGAAAGCACACCCTTTAAAAGTATGAGATTGTATACAATGAGACCATCATTTACCTTTTATACAAGGTAGTCACAATTCTTTACTACCATTTGATGTGAAATTTGATAGCTTGGATGTGTTACAAAGTTCGAAAAAATTTCTTTGAAGTTTGAGCTTGGTTAATAGAATAATTGCTTCCACCCAACTTCACGTCTAACAGTCAAAATTATTGTGACCACCTTATATAAAAGGTGAATGGTCTCATTTAAAAAATGATATATAGTTGGGGACATTTTAAAAAATAAAAAAAACAGAAGTACAAAAATAGAGATCATGGCAAAAAAGACAAGCATTACTTTATGCCAAAAACATCGAATCATATAAAAAAAAACTTATAGTACCTACGAGGCTTTAAACAATCAAATTAGAACCTACCTCAAAAATTTCACTAGAAGAGGTTGTTTTGATGCCCAAATATCCTCAAATTGATCATCTCGACATCAAGATGCATGGACATTAGAAAAAAAATAGATTTCAAGTTTAGAAAATAATATATTTTACAAAGCAATTTTGGACCGTCAATTTTCAATATTTTAAAGTTTTCATATATCTCTCGATCTCCACTATTTTTTAACCTTTAAGGTTTATAATAAAAAATAAAAATATATTTTAAGGCTATCAAAAAGATTTCGAAACCACATTTCTCAACACTATTCGAAGGTAGGCTCTAATTTGATTGTTTAGAACCTAAGTTCTATATAAACCACACCCATTTTTTACATCCCTCGAGTCGTACATACAGCTGAGCCTTGAATTTTGTTCTCCACAAACCAAATTAAAAGAAAGAAAAATTTGCACTAAGAAAAATATTCTATTTTCATTTTCAATTTTTTTCCTCCTCAGTTTTCTTTTGGTTGTGTATGCTATGACCCCAAATTTGGGCTCATGAATTTAATTCCAATATGATGTCATATAAGACTCGGACTTGGGCTTGGAATCAGGCGTGCCTGAGTCCAGGCAGCAGGCCAGACTCAACTGTATCGAACTAGACCGGGTCTGTGAAAAGGTGGAAAACAGTCCTTGCAAACTGATGAGACTTGGCTGATTCCTGCGATTTCTTAGTCATACTCGCACCCTGTCAAGTAACTTACAAGTTGTATTCCGCTAGTTCTATAAGACTAAATGGAATATAAACAAAACTTATAATAAATTAATATTTATTCCTGAAGACATAACGAAACATAAATGGGAAATTTATCAAAATAACAAGAAGAAAATAAGTATTCACATTTGTAATTATTCCAACTCAAGACTATGTGTTTTTTTTTATGGGTATTTTGTTATAAAATCAAAAGATATTAGTAAACTGTTAAATTGTTAATATCTTGTGAGAAATTTGATAAATTTCCTTTGAAAATCATATAAATAAGGCTGTTCTTTAATAAACATACGAAGAACACGGTTACACATCTTTGATCAGTCTATCTTCACTAAAACTTGTTTCGCCTCTTTGTTATCAAGCCTATATAGAATTTTGCAATTCCCATCTTCCTCCTCCACAGCAGTTGCTACCACCAGTGTTATTGCCGCCAACACTACGTGAATAATGATCTTCCAGTGTGAATTTCATTCTATTGAACAAGAGGATTATTATGTTGATTTCTTGAGTGTGATTATGGTTTATTATGTTAGTTTTTGTTAACTTTGAAATTCGGGAAAATTATTTTAATTTTGTTAAGCTCATCTAGCTATTAATATTATGCTTCAGGGCATCAGTATCGAAGCAGACCGTCAAACTATCTCTGATTGCCCTTTATGATTATGTGAAGTTCCTTGGGTTTCTATGCCTTGTTTTCTTCTAGTCTGCACCTATTAAGGGATGTGATTTGTATACTTATGTTTTATTATTCTATGATTTCTCTGTGAGACTTTGTTCCCTGTAATCGTCTATTTTTTTCAACAAAATATCATGTATTTATCAAAAAATAAAATTAGCAGAGGTAAAAGAACCTAAAACTACTCTAAATTGTTTGAATATTACTCCTATCCTTTCTCATCTATAACCTATGGCCTGTGTCATCAAATGATCATTCCAGGCCTAGAGTGGGCAATTTTATTCTCCTTTGTTTGCATCGATTGCGGATGTATCGTTGAGGCGATGTCCTGACGACCACTTTGATACTTGTTACATGGCCAAAGTTCCTCTCTCTCTCTCTCTCTCAAATTCTTTACGGTATTAGAGCAGTATACTTTTCTATCTTGTTACATTCTCCTCTCAAAAAGAAAAAGCGATACATTTTCCTATCTTGTTTGCAATTTGTTTATATTATATTTCTATTACAACCACCCTGGCCTGTCATTTACTGTGGTTCCTCATGTGTTGCTGTAACTAGTGCACCAAGGTCACTGATTTTCTTGATTTTAAAAGAAACAAGGGACTCCAATGCAGAGCCAGGACATTTCCTTAAGAATTAAACAGGACATTGTTCCTTTCTTTATCGAGGTTAATGTGGGATCCATATGTTACATATGTGATCCTAGGCTCGGGCTGAGGTCCGGATTCTTGCAGTTGGGATTGGAGCCTACCAATTATATGACTGAGACCTGAAAATATGATTCAATGGATCTTTAGTTGTTTATAGATTCCATGAAACTCCCTTATGACTCTGTTCTTCTTTGTATCTCAAGATGGCTAACCTGCTAGGACGCAAGCATGCATAAATGTTGGCGGATTAAAACATCTAAGTGAAATTAACTAGAAGAAGGGCATAGGTTCCTCAAAAATTAAGGTTGTTTATTAGTTGCAAACCCATTGAGATTCACTATGTTTAATAAATCACTAACTTCACACTTTTTTGTAATGCAACCGGTCTTTCTAATTATTCTTTCAATTTCAGATGTTGTGAACATCCAGTTTCAAAGGTCATCTTGTTGTACTATCTAATATACTTTTATTACCAATTAAAATAGAAATTCAAACTTCTTCTTTTTTGCTTTTCTAAAGGAAATGAAGCATCTATTCCATCAAACAGGGATACAATTTTACATGACAGTACATCCCTCGTCTTATTCTTAACACCCCTTGGCTTATTCTTAACGCCCCTTTGGGAACGCGAACACATCTCCTTTCTGTAACACATTCCTGTACAGTTTCCCGTTACTGTCCGTCAAGCTGACTTTCAGAGCACCCTCCACGACGAACAGGAGTTCTGCCCCACGTGGGTGGGTGTGGGGGACATTAACAGCGCCAGATGGGAATTCAAGGAGCTCGAGAGAGAGGCCGGTGCCGTTAAGGGCAGGGAAGTCTCTCACGGAGACGGGTTTGCATCATACATTGTTGGGGGAGGAGGGGGCCCCACCTCGGAGACCGGTGTATGTGAAGAAGCCTCCATCGAGCTCTGACTCATCTAAGCCGTCAGGGACAGCAAAGTCCGAGACGAGTTCGTGGTGGTGAAGCATAGACATTAGTTAGAAAGAGCAGACATAGAGCCACGACTATCGAGCTTAGCATGGTCTTTGCCATTTTTCTGTTCTTTTCTTATCTTTATGTGGTTTTATCTCTGTGGACTAGGTTTGAGGGAGTGAAGGTTAGAGTGAGCGTCTTTTATAGAGAGAAATGGCAATGGCCCCAGGTGATTTTCTCTGTCATCTTCTATTACGTGTTGGTATCATTTTCACTGAGCAACTGATTAGTGTTTGTGCTCTCCTTTTAACATTAGCACACATTAATTGCCTGTTGTTATCACCACAATAGATGGATTGCATTGATTAACACGACATTGAGGATTTTTTATTTTTATATATTTATTGGCGTTCCCACCATGATCAGGGTTTAACAAAGGAAAAATATCCCATATCTCATATTTTTAAGTTTCTTTTCTTTATAAATCAAAGTTTCAAAAGATATCTTCGAACCCCTGACCACTTTAAACCTATTTTTTAACCTATATAAATATGAGAAAGACGTGCTATTTTTAAACTCA